TCAGGGCGAGGCGCGAGGCGCTGTCACGGGAACCTTGCTTCTTCCCCAGGGAGACTGGAAACCGTCGGCTTCCTGCTGCGGCCATGAGGACTGGACCCTGCTAAGCCGAGTTGGGCACCACGCCTGGCCTCCCGCGCCCCTGCGCCCCGGCTCTGCCGCTGCGTGCCAACCACAGGGAAGCCCACACCTTCCTAAAGTATGCCTTCCCGCCCGTGCAGCAGGTCACAGGGGCTGTTTCCAAGTGACTGTCCTGACAGTCCCGGGGGCACGGCCTGGGTCTTCACCCGGCCTCCTCTTGCCTCTCCACCAGATGAACCACTTACCCTTCCAGCATTCGCCTCAAACTCTGGCCTTTCCCGGATATCCTAGGCTTCCATCTTGTTTCTAGCACTCTACTGTCTCGTCTGATTCAGCAGTTGTGGATTAAATTATGCCTATTTTGGTCGCGTGTGCCTGTAGCCCAGCTACTCAAAGGCTGAAGTGGGGAGGATCGCTTGGGCCCAGGTGCTCACGACCAGCTTGGGCAGCATGGGAAGATCCCCATCTCTAAAAAACAATAAATAAAAGAGGCCTATTTTGTGAAAGAGTCTATACGAAGAGATGAGGACGTAAGTGTTTTTGCTTTCAAAGAGCTTCCATCTTAGAACATGCAGACCAAAAACATTTAAAATGTCATTTGAGATTCTCGCCTCTCTTTTTCTCATTCTTTCTCGCCATATGATGGCTTCCGCCACGTAGAGTGCTAGAAAGAAGGCCCTCACCAGTCACCAAATAGGAGCCCTCAATCATGGAATTCTGTGTCCGGATCATGAGCCAAATCTATTTTCCTTATAAATTAAAAAAAAAAAATGTCATGTGGGGCCGGGCACAGTGGATCACGCCTATAATCCCAGCACTTTGGGAGAGCGAGGCAGGAGGATGGCTTGAGCCCAGGAATTGGAGACCAGCCTAGGCAACGTAGTAACTCAAATCTACAAAAAAAAAAAAAAAAAATTACCCCGATATGGTGGTACAAGCCAATAGTCCCAACTACTCAGAAGACTGAGAAGGGTGGACCCCTTCAGCCCCAGGGTCAAGGATGCAGTGAACCATGATCATGCCGCTGCACTCCGGCCTGGGCAACAGAGTGAGACCTTGAGTCAAATTAAATAAATAAAATGTAATTTGATAATTGCTAAATTAGGCCAGGTGTGATGGCTCATGCCTGTAATCCTAGCACTTTGGGAGGCTGAGGCTGGAGGATAGCTTGAGCCTAGGAGTTGGAGACCAGCTTAGGCAACATAGCAAGACGCTGTGTGTGTGGGGGGGGGAGTACAATAAAAATAACCCTTTGGGAGGCCAGGAGAGAGGACTGTCTGAGCCCAGGGATTTGAGACTAGCCTGAACATTGGTGAAACCTTGTCTCTACAATAAATGTTTTTAAAAAAATTCGCCGGGCATGGTTGTGCACATCTGTAGTTCCAGCTACTTGGAAGGCTGAGGTGGAAGGATCACCTAAGCACAGCAGATTGAATCTGCAGTGGTCATGAGCCAGCCTGGGCAACAGTGAGGCACTGACTCAAAAAAAAAAAGTATGTGCCACCATGCCTAGCTAACTTTTAAGATTTTTTTTTGTAGAGACAAAGGTTATGCTGTGTTGCCCAGGCTGGTCTGGAACTCCTGGGCTCAAGTAATCCTCCTGTCTTAGGCTCCCAAAGTGCTGGGATCACAAGCGTGAGTCACTGGGCCCAGCCCCCAGCTAATTTTTTTTTTTTTGTAGAGATGAGGTTTCGCTATGTTGCCTAGGCTGGTCTTGACTTCTGGGCTCAGGCAATCCTCCCACCTTGGCCTCTCAAAGTACTGGGATTGTAGGCATGAGTGGCCATGCCTAGCCTGATATGTAGTTCTTCCACTGGGCACAAGCACGAAAATACCTGCAGGAATATGAATATGCCCTCAGGCAGAGTGGTAGCTTATCAATAATATACAAAATCAAGGCAGGATAGTAGAGGATAGTGGCTCCCAGAGTCACCTGAAAGCTAATAAGGAACACAGTTCAGGCTTGAAGTAGGATAGAACCTGGACTTTTGAAGGCTTATACCCAGCTCCCCCAGGGATTCTGATACCTGCCATCATTTGAGAACCACTAGGAACCTGGACTCTGTCTGAATCCCAGCTCAGCTATGCACCTCTCCAAATGCTGTGGTTTCCCTATTTGTAATATGGAAACTGTAATAGTACCTAACTTATAGAACTGTTGGGAGGATTAAATGAGTTATGCTCAATAAGGCACTGAGAACTGTGTCTGGCACATAAGGAGTAGTCCACGAATGTTAGTCCTGGCAGGAAGGTATCCTTAGGGAGAAAAAAGTAAAGGGGAAAACTGGAGGGTAAATCAGGGCATTTAATATGCTGTTTATAACTGAAATTTTAAAAAGTCAAATTGACTAATACAACTGAGATTTTTACAAAAACAAAAAACCCTACTCGATTAGCTAGCATACATTACCAGCAAGTAAGCATTTGAGACTTAAGCTTCAGCGTGAAAAAAGTTGAATTCACTCGCTGTGGTGAGAGCACTCACAATGAAAGGAGAAAAAGCTTTATCCACACATTGGCAGGAAAGTTGACGTGTCAGCTCCCCATGGCTTTCTTCCTGTCAGATTGACCCAGGGATGTGACAGGGGAATGATCAAGGTGTGAACGGTTTCTATGCTTGTACCCCAGCTGTGGCTGCTAGATGGAATATCTGGAAGAACTTAAAGGTGAGCATGGAGAATGAGTGGACTCCAATGAGTCTGGCAATGAGGCCACATAGACTGGTTAAAAAGTATACAGGGCTGCTTCCACATGACTCAAGACCTGAAGTAACACCCACACACTCAGGGTAAAATATTCACTCTATTCAATTTTTTTTCCTTTTTTTTGATTTAACATAGAGATGAGTTCTTGCCAAGTTGTCCAGGCTGGTCTTGCCCTTGGGCTCAGGCAATCCTCTCATCTCTGCCTCCCTGGGATTACAGGCATGAGCCACCACACCCAGCAAATTTCTGTGTGCTAAGGAGAGTTCAGTACAGTGAACTTGAAACTGCAGAGAAAAAAATGGAGTGTAGGTAACAGAGGTTAACAGTGCTACCCTTACACCTGGTAAGAGGACTCCAGGAGGGACCTGGCCTGATCTTCCTCTGCCATGTCCCTCCCCATGAGCAGAGTTTGCAGGACCAGGGAAACCTAACTACCCAGAGTCAATGTCCTCCCGATCCCCTGAAGCCACACCACCAGACCATGGTCTAGGTACCCAGAATCCCGGAATTCTCTGCCCCAACAGCCTGTACAATCCTCTCCCTTGGGTTGATCCTTACAAAGACAGTGCTGCCAAAGTGCAGACCACAAGGCCCAAGTGGTGGGTGGCTAAGGGATGGGAGTTTGCAGGGATATGGCCCTTGGAGACGTAGGCCGGGGTGCCCTTTGCTATGTGGGAAAGAAGCAGGAGTGGCACCTTGACACCACACTGCAGCACAGAACTGAGAATTCTACATTGAAACTTGGCTTTCCAGGATGCTATTTTTTGTCAAGGTAGGGGTAGTTGAGTTCAACCTGATTTGTAACTTTTAAATATTAAGACATGGCATGAGGGGCTCCATTTGTATTCTTGCCCTGGCCTTACAAAATACTGAAGATGGACCTGGTGGTTAAATGCATGTACATTAGTACCTGACAGGCCTAAATTTAAAACTGTAGGCATGCCACTTACTAGTATGTACAATTCACTTGGAACTCTCCAACAGTGATGTTAAGGCTCTTTCAGTTGCAAGTAATCCTGACAGACGGACTTAATCATCAACAGGAACTTAATGGCTTTTAAGTCCATGGTGCAAACTTGAGGCACTGCCTGGATCCAGCAGTGAAGTTTCATCAGCACATGCCCTGTCTACATCTTTTGGCTCTACTTTCCTATTTTGGCTTTATTCTGACAGGACTACACATAGTAACCAGCTTACATCCTACTAAGAAATCCCAGCAGAAAAATTAAAGACTTCCACTTTTTTTTTTTTTTTTTTGAGTTGAAGTCTCATTGTCGCCCAGGCTGGAGTTCAGTCGCATGCTCACGGCCACTGTAGCCTTGACCTGCTGGGCTCAAGTGAACCATTCTGCCTCAGCCTTCCAAGCAGCTGGAACTACAGGCATGTGTCACCACGCCTGGCTAATTTTTTTGGTTTATTGTAGAGATGAGGTCTCGCCAAGTTGCCCAGGTTGGTCTTGAACTCATGGGCTCAGGCAATCCTCTCACCTCAGCCTCCCAAAGTGCTGGGATTATAGGTGTGAGCCACCATGCCCAGCTGATTTTCACCTTTCGAAAGTTCCGGGAAAATCCAGGGATCTGCTGATTGATTATAAGCCCACCATGAGTGGTCTGAGTCTATCCTATAAGTCATCAGGGAAAAGGTAGCTTACCATCTAAAAACTGAAACTTGGTTAGTGGGCAAATGGCAGTGGAAACGACAGTGAGGTGGTAGGCTTTAAATGTTCGGCACTCAATGTTAGCTACTATTAATGTGATCGAGAATCCAAACACACTCAAACTGTACACAAAATAGAAGCAGGTGGAGGCTACACTCATTTTCCAATACCAAACTGCCATGAACTCGGGAATCCAAGTGTGAAGCATTAATACCTAGACACTTTCTCCATGGTTACAAAAGAAGCAGTCTCATCTTTAGTAAGGGGAGCTTTCTGTCCGCAGGAAGTCTATATCATGGCCTATTTTGTAGTGTTTTCACTTATTTCATTAGAAACAGAGCATTACAAGACAGGCAGGACAGGATTTATTCCCATTTTACAGATGAGAAATCAGACTGGGAGAGGTCAAGTGATCTACCTGCTCTGGGTCTCAAGTCAATAGCTGATCCAGCTGAAACGGGAACCGAAGACTTCAGACTTCAGTAACTCAACATTCTAGTTACTTCCTCTCCTGGATATATAATGGGAGTAATACCCGAGTTGCTTCTCAAAACAAGAGGCGGGAGGATCACTTGAGGCAACACAGCCAGGCCCTATCTCTACAAAAAATTACAATTAGTCAGGTGTGATAGCACATGCCTGTAGTCCCAACTACTCAGGAGGCTGAGGTGGGAGGGTCATGAGCCCAAGAGTTCAAGGAAGCTATGACTGTACCACTGCACTCCAGCCAGGGAAACAGAGTGAAGCCCTGTCCCAACAACCAACACCACAACAACACAACCACAACCACAACCACAACCACCAGGTATGCAAAAGAAAAGTGTTTTAGTCTCATTCTTCTGACAACTGGAAAGTAAGTATTCACCTGGTCCCATATGTGTAGCATTATCAGTCAAAAGTCTGTCATTAGGAACATAAAATGATAGTGGAGATCGAAAGTGGGAAGGTACAAGAGATGCCAAAGGCATGTCGTTTGCCCCTGATTTCAGTTCAACGTTTATTGAGTGCTTAGTCTGTCCCAGGTTCTGTGCTGAGGACACAGAGCAAGCAAAACATTCAAGGATTCTGCCTTGGTGGCGCTCTCATTCCAGAAGCTGCCAACGAGAGACTGGTGGACTGCATCTGGCCCACATTAGTGTTTTGTTTGCTCTAAACAGTGATTATTTTTAGAAAAAGTAAGTTGCCGACTTCTAGCTTCTCTGAGACAGACAACTTCTGGATTCCTGAATAAGAAGTGGCGGCCATCCCCTGCCCAGCACCCAGGATACAAGCCCATTTCCTACAATCTTACACCCAGATGACTGTGGCCCAATTCACACATCTGTGTTATGCACTTGACATCCGTAAGCATTTAGACCAAAACCCCTGAAGCAAACAAATATCCAATCGAGATAATTTCAGATAGTATTAAGTCATAAAAAAATAAATAAAATAAGCTAATATGCTCAACGATGGTTGCTGTGGTTGTTGTTAAGATGGGGCTTCACTCTGTTTCCCAGGCTGGAGTGCAATCATGATATGGCTCATGGAAAGGGCCGCTTCAGACTGGGTAGTCAGGGAGGGTGCTGCTCTGCGGTGTGACCAAGACCTGAATTATGGCCAGCATGACAAGTCTACCAATAGAGAAAACAAAACAGCTTCCAAGCACAGGGAACAGCACAGGCACCAGGTCCTACTCGAGGCTAAAAACTGGCTTGTTCAAGAGCAGCAAAGTTGGGGTAGCTGAGAGAACAGCGAAAAGATCGCATAAGAGGGAAGAAGCCAGATTACATACGACCTTTACAAGCCATGGTAAGATTTTTAGATTTTACTCCCAGTATGATAGAAAGCCTATGGAGGGTTTTAACTAGGGAGTAATGTAGTCTGGTTTACATTTTCAAAAGCTGACCCTGCTATGTAGAAAATAATGCAATGAGGCAACAGGGGTAGCAGGAGACCAATGAGGAAGCAATAATGGTCCAGTTGGTGACAGTGGCCAGGACCAGGATGGTAACACAAGAGATGAAGAGAAGCAGCAGATTCAGGAGGTAACATAGAGTATAGCCAGAAGAATGACCAGATGAGAGGATGGTCACAGTGGTGGCAGGATGGAGGGGGTGAGGAGAGGGGAGTAATCGAGGATAACTCCAAAGCGGTGGCTTGTTCAAACATTTATAGGTTAGGGACAACTGGGGACACCCCAATTCTGGTAAGAGAAATCAAGACTTTGGTTTTGGATGAATCAGTTTGCCCAGACTCAGGTCTTCCCAGATTTCTCACTCCCTTACCTCCCACATCCAAGGCGTCCTCAAATTTGAAAGTCCAAACTTCTAAACACTGAAGTCTCTTATCCAATCTATCCGCTCAATTCCATACCCATTGCCTCTGTCCTGACTCGACCCTCTCTTGCCTTGACTTTTACAACAGTCTATTGTAGCTCTGAAAAACGAACCAAAAGCACTTAAGAGCCATGCCTGTACCTCTCTTCCACCAGCCATCTCTGATGGCGGAAACCATGTCGAACTCCTATTCATCTCCAGTGACTAGTGCTGTGCTGGGCACAGAGTAGGCCCTCACATATTGATGAACTGAAAACAGGTTTCCTCAAACAGGACACGTCAGAAAAGCGGAGCTCCGTCTGGGCTTTTATGATTCCTCCACACAAAGTAGAGCCACACAAAATGTATGATCAGGTCTCAGAGAACTCCGCCTTTCCAAGGAATGCATTTTTTTCCAGTTTGGTTTCAAACCACAGTTTGAGTCCCACTTTTACCTGGCAGTTAATGACATTGAATAGCATTACTATTTTTTCCACTTTTCTTTCAAACTAGGGACTTTGAGAGGAAGTCCTCTGAGCCTCACATCTTTGTAAGGAGGTCCCAGAGAGAATTCTTCTCCATTTTACAAATAAGAAAACTGAGGCCTGGAACAAAATCCCGTAATTTTTATGGAGTCAGGAGCCCTGACCCCATAGCACAGTTCTGTAACAGGAAGATATCCCGATCTCCCCTCCATGCAGAACTACTCAGTACTCAGGTGTTCCCTAGGTTTTGCCTTCACATTTGCAAACGTCTTTGGGTATCAGGGTGTGTTGTCACAAGGTCAAAAACAATGTTCTTTCTCTCTCGCCTCTCTATCACTCTCCTCAGTGAGGACAGATTCCACCCACTGGGTCCGAGAGAAAGAAAAGCACCTTAGTGATGAGCTGGGGAGGAGTTACAACCAACAAGGAGAAAGAGATCTAAGAACACAATAAGAGTTTCGATGGGAAAAAGGGGAGCGGGGCCACCATTAAGAAAACCAGGAGGCTCCTTTCAAAAAGTTTCCAGATGCGAGTACCTGGGAAGAAAAGTGGCAGCAGTAGGTGGTCAGACCCCCTGCTGTGCCCTCCCAGAATCACTTCTTCAGAGCACCCAGGCTCCTCAGGACGTCCTGGGCCTGGGTCAGCTGCTGTTGCAGCCTCTGGCGGGTGCTGTCGTTGGAGGCCCGCTTCAGGTGGCCCTGCATCTCCTCCACCACTGCCCTGTGGCCAGCGGTGTTGTGGAAGAGCCGCACTGCCCGGTCCCCACAGGAGGCCAGAAACCGGCCAGTGATGTCAAAGGACAAGTCAGCGATGCACTCCGCATGTACCCGTTCAAAGCATTCCTCCTTCTCACCCCGCCGGGTATTGTAGAGATGAATACTGCTGCCAGTGGCCAAGGCCAAGACCTGGGCATCAGGGGAGAGCGCCAGGAGGCACCGCATGGTGCTCGCCTCTTCAAAGCGGCCTGTCCTCAGCAAGTAGGGGTCCTGCTGCTTCTTGTATTCCACATCTGTGTCCCACAGTTTCCATGTACCATCCTTGGAGACAGAGGCCATCCTGCAGCATGGAGAATCACAGCTCAAGCCCCAACACATGCCGGCAGGGAAGGCACTGGGACAGCTTGAAGGGCTCTAGCTAAGAAGCTGAGTCTGCTTCCTGCTGAGGGTCAGGCACCCCACCCACTTCAGAGCTGTGGCCCAGGCAAACAGAAGGACCCTGGCTGCCAAGGGGGGCTGAGAGCCACTGGTAAGACATCAGAGCAGATCCACTCACCTCCGTGAGTCATTGGAGAAAGCGAAGGCGTGGACAGCTGCAGAGTGTCCTTTCAGTTCAAAGGCTCGAACAACCTCCTGGAAGTCCCCCTTCTTCCCAAAGCAGACTTCCCAAACCTTCACATCTGGGGTAAAGCCACACGAAGCCACAAACCTGCCATACAACCCGGTTCCTTTAAAACTTAATTTCAGCAACATCTTGTTTCTGCAAACCCTCTAAACCTCTTTCCTGAGAGATTTAATAATATAAAAGTGCTTTAGCCAGGAGCAGTGGCTCAAGCCTGTAATCTCAGCACTTTGAGAGACCGAGGCAAGAGGAATGCCTGAACTCAGGGGCTCAAGACCAGCCCGGGCAACTTGGTGAGACCTCGTCTCAGAAATATATCAAAGATTTAGCTAGGTGTGGTACCGCATGCCTGTAATTCTGGCTACTTGAAAGGCTAAGGCGGAAGGATCGCCTGAGCCCAACAGGTCGACGTTGGGGTGGCGATGAGCATGCCACTGCATTCCAGCCTGGACAACAGAGTGAGATTCTAACTAAAAAAAAAAAAAAAAAAATAGGTGCACACGGTGGCTCATGCCTATAATCCTAGCACTTTGGGAAGCTGAGGCAAGAAGATTGCCTGAGCCCAAGGGTTCGAGACCAGCCTGGGCAACATGGTGAGACCTCGTCTCTACAATACATCAAAAAATTAGTTGGGCATGGTGGCGCATGCCTATAGTTCCAGCTGTGGTGGCCGTGAGCAGCATGCCACTGTACTTCAGCCTGGGTGACAGAGTGAGACTCCAACTCAAAATAAATAAATAAATGTGCTTTTATGTACGTGACTTCAGTTCATTATCACAGCCTTGCTCTAAGATACATGGCACCCTGACTCCGACCTTTTAAATCCCACAGATGAAAAGCCAGGTGCAGTAGTGTGCATCTGTAGTCCTGGCTACTAAGAAACTGAGGCAAGAGGATCACAAGAGCCCAGGAGCTGAAAGTTGTAGTGCCTGAGAATAGTCACTATACTCTATCCTGGGTGACATATCAAGACCCTTCTCTAAAATAAAAACAAAACACTAAAAAATAGCAACTAAGTACTCGAGGTGGCTTGCATGAAATCCCACCACTCCAAGTGGAGAGCTAGGACTTGAACCTAGGACTCCTGACTCTCCGCTGTATGCTCGTTTCACTTGTGAAGCTGGCTCTCTGCTCTGTGCTTGCTCCTCAGCCCCAAGCCCTCCCATTCCAAGAAGCAAAAGTTCCTCCCTCCTCACCTGCTACAAGGGGATATAGCAGCATGCGTATTGTTCATCTGGTTGGTGTTGATGGTAAACAGCACCTGACCTTTCAGACTCCAGATGAGGACAGTCGTGTCACTGGAAACAGTCATGATGAACTTCCCTGAAGGGGAGGGGACTGATGTGAGCCCAGGGCAATGAATGACCTGGCATTCTCCAAAGAGACACTAATGAGGCCTGTGGTGTCCAAAGTATCCATGTTCCCCTCCAAAACCCAGGTCACTACAGATAAGAACTCTGCTGAAGGCTGCGGCCTTACTTGCCTCCCTCAAGGACCTAGAGTGGCTCCTAGAACTCCAAGGCAGCACAGAGTCAAGCTGTTTAAAGCCAGAGCCCCCTGGTCAGACCGAAGCTGAGTAAAACCTCCCGGCAGCATTAACTCCTTCCAGATATATAACTGGAACATTTTTTGGTCATGGTATCATCCTTGCTAGGTTAAGCATTTTTTTTTAATTGTAGAGATGAGGTCTCGCCAAGTTGCCCTGGCTGGTCTCAAACCCATGGGCTCAGGCAATCCTCTCACCTCAGCCTCCCAAAGTGCTGGAATTATAGGTGTGAGCCACTGCGCCCAGCCCAGGTTAAGTACTGACTGGAACATTTCTGCTAGCCTTGGGCAAACTCCACCTTTGGAAAGTCTCTTACCTGTGTTAGCAATGCCAATGTTGATAACGGGTGCCTTATGCTTTTTAGGGAAGTCCTCTGGGGTGGCTGTGAAGGTGTAGCCCCCATCCTCTCGCTTGGTCATCTTGAAGACGCGGAGGGTGTCCCCATTGGCCAGCCAGACGATGAAGGCTCTAGAGACACAAAGCAGACAAATCACTCCCTCATTTGGACATGTGTGCCAGGTCCTATGCAGGGTTCTGGGGAAAATCAAGATCTCTTCTCATACCCTGCAGTCTAGCTTTGTAGCTTGGTCCCTTGGGTCAAAATCTAAAACTCCTCACAAGATAGGAGTCTTACAACTGACTCCTTTCATCTCTCTAGGGTTTGGAAAACAATGATAGCTTCTGAGACTCATCTAGAAGTCAGGCTGTGAACTCCCCAGGTAGGAAGAGATCGACCCCTCTCTGCTTCCTTGCTGTGTGGAGCATAGCCCTCCAGGGAATCCCAGGCAGTGCGCAAGCTATCTGAACACGCTTTCTGCCACCCTAAGGGAGACCTGGGGCACTCCTCACTACCCAAAACAGACACGGAAAGGCCATAAGCCTGCGCTGGGTGTCTGCAGACCAACCCAAGGCTCCCTCCTGTCCCACCTGCAGTCAGGGCTGAAGCGCACCAGGGTGGCGTGGTCCAGCTCCACATTGGCTCTCATGCTGCGATGCTCCCGCTGCATGAAGTCCTTGGTGCTCCAGATGCGGACAGTGCGATCCTCCGCGCAGGTGGCCAGGTACTTGCCGTTGCAGCTGAAGTCCAGGCAAGATATGTTCCCACTGTGGCTCTAAGGGAAGGGTTGCAGGAAGTGTGAATGGATCCCTCAGGCAATAAAGAAGCCCAACCAGAAGCCATGACTCTGGGGCCTGCAGCCTGGATTGATAGCAAGCCGAAGATGGCCTGGGATCAGAAGGGACAGGATGGGGCATCTCTGCTGATTCTGATCAGGGGTAGGGGGTCTGCAACACAAACAGAACACTACACAAGAAAAGTGTGGGAGTGTGAGTCTTTGTGTATGTGTACTATGCGTGGGTAGCCAGAGTACCTTCAGTGCCGCAGCCTGGAGACGGTGGGTGAAATTGTGTTGTTGAGGCTTCTCCTTGCGAATTCGTTGATGCTGTTTCTGCTTCTTGGATCCCGAGGATTTGCCAGACGGAAATCCATTTGCTTTTTGGCCTAGACAGAATGGCCATGTCGTTCACTCACTCACTCACTCACAAGAATTTTTTTTTTTTTTTGAGTTGGAGTCTCATTCTGTCACCCACACTGGAGTGCAGTGGCATGCTCCTGGCCACCGCAGCCTCGACCTGCTGGGCTC